ATTTCACGCGTCGCTCTTGCTGGTCACGTGGGCACTGTGTAACCAACCGAGAGACGCCTAATGATAGAATGTGTTACCTCCTATCTTAGCATTGTATGCCACACCCACTCCACATATGGTATTGTTTGCTTGAGCCGCAACCTCTCCTGCACAGCGGGTACCGTGTCTACAACAGAACAAGGACAACAGTCACGGTACGAAACCGCCCGTAATTGCTGTCTGGGAATTATGACAGCAAATTAATGAGATTATGACAAATCTTATGCAACTGTTCCTTCGTTCCTTCAGTTGTCGAAGAAAGAGCTTTTAGAAAAAGGTTTCGGTGTACCTTTCGAGAACATTAGTTTACCCTGATGCACTCATCTACTTTTCTTTATTTGTCAGTTTTGATGGTTTTCAAGCCCTCGTTTACACAAAAGATTGGCACTATATGGGGCGGTGTTTTACAGGTCAGAGAAGTCATGATAGAGGGATATTTCTTCGGAGTTCTTAACCGCTCTATAAACTGAAGTTCTAACTATTTGATCACTTTAAGTCTACCTATCAGAATGCATGTTCAGTATGCCATGGTATTAATAGATCGTGCAGACTGTCTAAACTGACATACTTGTTTTCATTTGTGGGATCATAACGTGGAAACGGATCACCGTCTTCACCATTAACATCCCAGCTAGCTTGAGGATCCTGTCAAAATGAAATCCACAATTATTACACACTAATGCAAGTGAATATAAGAAAGATCATTAATTTGAACTGCCGAGAGCGTTATCAAGACAGCAATGATCATCGCCGTTATATACAGAACTTAGCAGTTGTGAAATTAAAGCCTGAAAAAAATTCAGGATATTGAACGAGATTCGAGCCCATCACCTGTGCGATACCGGTGCAGTGCTCTACCAACTGAGAGCTGCTCTCAGTTGGCTTGATAGCTCAGTCCTACTTACGTAGTTTCTGATGAGATCCGTGTGGTTATGTTCAATACCTGTAACAAGACAAACAAAAACGAAATCAGTAACGGTCAGAATACTATTCGAAAGATTTGTCAATTCACTTTGATTGCGGACTTTTAATGGCTTAAGAGTCAGAGAACATAACTAGGCTACTCTGAATCATTTCGTACCTTCAAGGTTCAGTTAGACAGACTGAATGTGAACTTACCATCGTCAAGAATTGTAACAACAACACCCTTTCCAGTAATGCCTTGATTCCAAACAGGAAGAACGTGTACATCCAAGTCTTGATCCGCTCGCTTATCGTCCTGTTAAGTGAAAAACGAAAAGACATCCAGGATAATCAGATAACGCTGGGCAAGGTTTTCAAGGATGTAATTTTATCGCAGTAGTTACGATGATAACCTTATCTTCAAGGATTCTATCATTATTCTGTTCGGGAATGAAATTTTGGTCTCCAGGAACTGGCTGTATCCTTGAAAAGTTTCCTTTTACGAGATCGTAAGTAACATTAGAGAGCTTAAACAAACCACGACGGCAACGGCAACGAGAATACCACCAAAGAAAAGGTTTAATGAGCAGAACAATAGCTGAGCGCGTGCGTTATAAATCTTTGTACATTTCTTTGTCGTCCTCTGCACAACAACAACGTGAAATGATTATAACAAGTTCTGCGTTTTTTGGAGAACGCGTATTTTTATTTGGAATTGAACGTAACGCTGGCGCTGCATATTTGGCTTGAGTAAGTTCTGAGACCATTACTGACACACTGAACAGATCTAGACAGCTGCAAAATTCGAAGGTAAAACATAAATTCATTTTTTTCAGGCGTTGTCCTCAGATTCGCCATCGTTATTGCTTAAGTTCTCTTAAGCTCAAAACCTGTATGTTCAACCAAGGATTTGTTTCTGAGGCAATAGTGGGCTCGACGTTTAACTTTGCTACCTTGTCAAGTCACGAGGAAGTGGTGGAAGCTATTCGAAGCCGAATTTTGTCAAGGAAAAATGTCTAGACTAGTAAACGTATCTGTATTTTTTTTAGCTGTTATTATAAAAATTCCGCATTCCACGTTAAATAAAGTATCGTATCGTATCGTAAATATAATGTAGTAGATTCTTTTCTCCCTTGACCCTGTGAATTGCTCGTCAAGTCACACAATTTTGTTCAGCATAGCCATTCTTCACGGCTTATATGTTCATCGATATACGGAAAAAATGGGTGAAATAATTTTGCCACACAAGGTTGCATTTTTTTTGTTTGCAATTTCAGCTTCTCGCTGGCCATCCTAAAAGCATTGCTCTGCACTGCAGTGTGTTAGAAAAGTAGCATTTACCTCCAAGATATTTATTATACTCGGCTTTTGTTCAGCTGTGAGTAAGATCAGCTTTATTTTTAATTTTATCACGGGTGAAATAATCGACATTTTAACGTCATAGTAACTGACCAGATACCACTGAGCATCCCACAGTGGGTCCGTGAAGCGAGGCACGATGCCTCTCGCTATCATGCGGTCGTGAAAGTGGCCCCTTTTGACGCGGATTTTCTCGTGTTGTTGTTCCGCCCATATCACCTGCAAAGTCGATAATATTGTTTTATAAACCTGCACTGAGTCATGATATCACATTGGTCATGATAAAAGCTCCGCTTGAAAAACAATTTTAGACTGCAAATAACTCAGTCTCTCTTTTGCCCATTAAGCTAATTATTAACACTTATGGTACTTGCCGTTTTCCCTTTGCATATGATGATTTACCAAAGGACAATAAAAGCCCCTTTTTTGCAAAAACCTGCATATAACCTTGCTGTATTTTTCTAACGTAGATTTGAATAACATCGCCTCAAACAGAACGATCGATAACATTGTAAAGTTATCTAGAATTCACTTGGGAGTCGATTTCCGAAAAATCATTGCATGTACTTATTTTTGAATATTTTACATTAAGATATTTCGTAGAGACAATGGTTGTTTTTTCTTACTTTAGGGTCTTGCATGAGTCTTTCTGTTCGCCCTTCTGCGCTTCGTCTCGAGCGATGTGGTTCTTCTGCATGTTCTAAATGATAAAAGCCCTCCAAGGTACCGATCTAAAAAGAGATAAAGTATACATTAGCTGGCTAACTAACTGTACGGACTTTGTTGGTAATTAAATGAATCGTTTTACTAGATATGGACGTTTTTTGATCAGTGTCACAGTGAAACCCTTTTGAAAACAAGCAAGATTTGCTGATTTCTTGTGAAATTAAATACTGATGTTAGGCCTGGAAATTTTTACTTTGCAGTTAAATATTTTTGACGTTCATGGATCTCCAGAACAACCCGCGAAATTGCTTGTTTTTCATTACCACCTTTAAAAAGTAATTTTTTGACAAACCTTAACATGACAGACAGCTTTTTACGGCGGTTGCCTTTGAGAGCCCCCTAATGATGCCTGTTCTTATCTTTAAATGGAACTCATAAAAAAAATTAAATAAAAAATATATAGACTATCGATTCACTCACTTAAAAGTGCAGATTTGAAGTTGAATTTCATTATAATTATTTGCAGCTGACCAAGTTGAGGTTTTAGTCAGTATAACAAAACTGCGAAATCGTCGCACCAAACAATGCTGTTTTATTTTTAAACAAACAATCTGAATTCGGGGAACAATTGTTGGTATGAAAAGAAGCAAATATCCACTGAAAAAAAATCTTATTTGATCTTTTGACACTCAGAAAACATGTAATCAAGGGTTTGAGTTTAAAATGGTGTCAAGATTTTAGGTCGAAATTCGGTAATGAAGTCACCGGCTGTATTCAGACTCAGTAAAATGCCGCGGCAGAAAAAAACGCCGTCTTTTATCAAACTTCATTTTACAGTGACGGTGGGTGGTTGAATTATTTCTAGTTTGAAAGATAAAGAGTTGAATTAGCTGTTAATATGGAGGTGCAACTAAGTTTAGGTCGAAACATGTGGTTCTATTCGCTGCTAAAGTGGAAAACATCATTCCCTCAGCTCATAATATTTAATACCAGTTACTTGTGGGGAGAGGGAATCTTTGATGATTTCTTCAGGTTGAGAGTGTAATTTTCTCGGAGTAAAATTAAAATAGAGTGAGCGAGGCGGCTAATGTCGTAGAAAAGAAATTTTATGAACAACCTCTTACGATAATTGGGAAAATATTGAGATTTGTTGACCGAGTTGGTTGTCTGACCTGCCGGGTGGCCAGTGTTTAAGCGCTAGGCAGGCCAAAAAAAACATTATACTAGAAATTTATATTAAAAAAAGACCGGCAAGTACTTGTTAAGTCCCCAGAACATGCCCGCAAAAACCCCATGCGATCCATTCTTTACTCAAGACTTACCGGTTCAACTTTGTCAAATCCATGAGATCTGGCTATTCGTTTGGCGGTCTCGATGCCTCCCTCCACCCGTATCGCCCATTCGTTGGTGAAGACTTTTTCTCCTTTGCTATCGAGCCGTTGGGCAAAGACCACTGATGTCTGTTTGGGCCACGCTGTGATGAAAACACATATTACTATCTTGGCGAGGCCCAAAGCCCGTACAACTCGAAACATCGCATCGCTCCGAACTTTTTCGTGGAGAAACTCTGACCGAGAGTCGATGGAAAACTCTGCCTATTTATTATTAACGTCAACGGATGTTTGGTTAGTTGCGGAGGTCATCTGTCGTGCGACTGGCACCTGTCATTTACTGTTATAATCAATTGATCTTTATCACCGATTAACCAATCACAGCTTCTGACGTAAGAACGAGAAAAAGCCAAACGCGAGCGAGTAAGAGTGCCTGAAACAGTCAAATACTTCTTGTTCTTTTGGAGAGCGAGTAACTGTTTTCAAAAATCTAGACAAATCATTATGTCTTAAAGTTAATTCAGTTATATTTTCTCTCAGTTTGGAAAACCCAATGGAAAGATTTTGTTTTCGCAAATTCTTTGTAGCGCGAGATTGGTCGAGATTGTGGTTTTTACCTCGAATAAGATCGGCCAAACAGCTGCAGGAGTTTCCTCAATTCTGACCGAATCATTTTTATTGACGCAGAAGAAGTGGTCAATTTTTACGCTGTTTTCCAGCTTATCACATAAGTGGGTTTTTCTGTAGATCAGAGCAAGGATAGGCAGCTTGCGTGCGTATGGAATAATGTCCTGAAATATGCAATAGTAAACAATACATGCTAGAATTACTCAGGAACACTGTCCAGTAAAAATGTCGATATAGGGTAGAAACGCACTGAAACACAAAGAGAATGATCTCCCTTTTGATCGAAATAACACCCCGATATAGTGCTTTTGATCTTTTCATCATCACTGGGAGAGTATTTATATAAATAACTTTGTTCGTTTTAACTGTGTGAGTTTCAGTGGTTGATGTGGTACAAATGCGTGACAGGAAAATTTCTATGACGTTGTCAGTATATCATCAGTATCAATTCTAGCCATGTGCGCTTGACGCATGAACATACTCCTGGTTGGTAAAG